CCCCAAAACCCCAAAACCCCAAAACCCCAAAACCCCATTCAACAGTTCACAAATTGAAATTACAAAGGGTTCTTAACTAATTTTAAAACTGAGGTAGTGAATGAGAGAACTAGGGATTTTTAGAATTTACGGGAGTAGCTTCTCATACGAGAGGTGGATGTCTTTGTAGGGGGTAAGGGAGCGATGAAACTTTGTTGCTTCCTTCGTTTGATTTTGGGACGGAAGTTGTCAGTGCCTAGAGAGGAGTTAGAGGGGATGTACCGATGTTGTAGATGGACTGGTTGACGTTAATTGATGCGCCCTTTTTGTGCCTGATTGCGGTCATTGTCCTCTTTTTAAGACGCTTTTCAAAATGGATCTGGGAATCTGCATCTTCGTAATTTAATAAGCTGCTATTTAGAGTATCATATTGCTGATAATCTATGCCTCTTGATGAATCTTTAAGTAGTTTATCTCTTCTTTCAAGATGATTTTTAAATCTCTTATGAGTTGTAACTGGCTCCAATTGATATCCGTTATTCATATAATGCTGATTCATATTCATACTTTGATTAATCTCAGAAGCATCGACAACTCATCTCACAGGTTCAGTATCTCAGTCTCTTTCTTGAAATTTAGGAGAAGTATTTCATCTATAACCTCGTGCATAACTCTTATCATCAAGCTCATTATCGACCCTCTGAGTGTTCCCATTCCCCATGAAATATTTGTTCTGGGCAACATTATTACTCGAATAGTCCGTGGAATTCATTCCATCATTGATTTGCATGAACTTATTTCTAATTTTCTTCTTTTCTATTCTTTCAATTCTCTTCTTCAAAATACTATTTTCCTTATTAAATTCATAAATCAGTGCTATCATTTTGTCTTGGTCGAGCATGCCCATCTTCTCTTTCTTACCAAGATCAGCAATCAACTCGTCCTTGACTGAAGAGTAATTCATCTGGATGTAGTATGAATCAGTCCCTGTCAGAGCCTCCATGATGCTCAGTCTATCTCTTATTTCCTCATTCTCCAGCTGGAATTGTGCGACATTCTTCTGAAGTTCGTCAATCTCTAGAGTGTGGTCCATGTAATCTTTATTGAGCTCAAGGTTTCTCTTGAGCACATTCTTGACCATCTTCGCACTCAATAAGATTCTTTCAAATAGCCCTAGTTTGTTTTGGGCAGACATGATCTCTTTGAGTGACATTAAATCTTCAGTCATCTTGTCCATCATCGTCTCATTTTTCTCAAACATTTTCTTAAAGTCAGGCAATTGAGGCTGTTTCTCGCTATTAAGCCGAGAAAGATTTAGTTTAGAATTACTCTTATTATCTTCATCCTGTGCAATGCTTGCTGGGCCTACTAATGAAGACTTGAGGTGATCTTGGGGCTCAACTACCATATTTGGTAAAGACTCTGCACTATCTTCATCACTGTCGGAGAGGTTATTTTCCACATTTACTACAGAGATTTTTGCCCTTGCCCATCAAGTTATGAGCCATCATAAGCTGGTTTCTTAAAGACTGAACTTCCTTCTTCAGCCCAGATATGACCTTGTTCTTGGGATCATGATTCTTAATAGGTTTATTAGATATTCAAGATGCCTTCGAAGCATACATTAGTGTGCTGATGTTCTCATTAAAGAACTTACTGCTTGGTGAGATACAGGCGATCATTAGGCAGAAACTGTTGCCTCCTAGACTATGTTTTAGCAAACTAGTCAGCTTAGACTCTCTATAAGGTACATAATTTCCTTTTCCTCCTTCTGCCTTATTTAGCATTGAAACAACCTGCCTAAGAGTGAAAAGAGATTTATTAATTTCGATAGCTTCTTTCTTGAGCTTTAAACTAATCTGTTCACTCAGGTTTGCATTTAGAGTTTGGCTTGATCTCTCAGAACCTGCTAGATCTACTAGTTGCATTGTGCTGACTATTATATTATCAGGATTTTCCCTTTCAATAGATTCAACAGTGATGGACAGGATGCAATGCGATCTTGAACTAGCTTCATTAAGAGCATGTGAAGACATTACTTTATTCTTTAGCCCATAATGGAAGTAATTCATCAGCTCTTTCGCATTCTTGCATTCAAATTTATAAAGATTGTCAACATTAAATCGATCATTTCGTGCATCAAAGTGCAGCTTGAGCCCCTCTGGTTGCTGATTGTTACTTGATTGCAAATATTCCTTCCTCGAATGAAGCGGATTTAGGAGATCATAAATCTTCTCTTGATATATTTGGAGATAAGAACAATAAATTCTATACTTCTTAAGCTCTACTCCTTGTATTTTATGAAATAGTTCTCCTACAATCCTAGGAATAATTCCAATATTCTCATTCTGTCTAGTCATGGCGACTGGTGTGGACTCAAACTGTGAGAATCCATTTAGAGTTTCATTCATCTTATATTTATAGCCCTCCATTGTGAAAGTCTTACCAGAGCCGGTTTGGCCATATGCAAACACGGTTGCGTTATAGCCATCGACAACATGGTCAACATACTTATCAATTCTGCATTCTTCATATAAATCCTGCTGTGACATTTCTTCAGAGAGAACCTTGTCGAACTTATGTGCCTTATTTAACTTTCGAATTTGTGATGACAGTGCGGTTATCCTTTATATACAGCAATCTCTGATCCTCCTGCATCTGCTGTTCAAGATCAACGTTATTAGTGATGTCCTGGTCTATATAAGGCCTGAGCCTTATAGCCACCTTGATCTTCTCTTTATTACGAATGTTCTTCCTCATTTATATATTTAAACTCTGTCAAATTTTATTCTCCTTCATGGGGTTTTGGGGTTTTGGGGTTTTGGGGTTTTGGGGTTTTGGGG